AAAAACGATATACGAAAATGATACCCACAGCAGTATCAGATACGCCCAGAGCTAATCGCGGCAAGCCAGACTGTATAGAGTTAACTTTCTTTCTTCTTTTTCTTTTAATATTATAATGCAAGAGAATGAAATATTGTGCTAGTAAAAGACTAAGTTATAATCTGAATGAAGTAATTGACGGTTGTTGATATGATATATTTTCGCTTTCTGTAGCCATGCTGTACACAGTCACCGGGCCTAAAATGACTACAGGAGGGTCTCAATGGGCTGGCAGCTTTGACGGTTCAGCTGACGGTTGACGATTATTTAGTAGAAATTTAATAGTCCAAGAGTTTAAGTAAACATTAATTTCTGTATAGATTAATATCAACTTTTGTGTCTTCGAAGTCTTCTTGGCCTTTGCTTTTAAAATTTTTCGAAATATTTTCAGATATAAGCAAGTTAAAAGGTCTTGTAATGTCTAGAGAGTATGTTTTTGAACTTAGGAACTCAGAGTTGTCCAGTTTAGAGATTCTTGAGGAGCCAGAAGTCTGTGAAGATCAGCTGAAATAACGAAATTTGTAATACCTTTGACAGTTAATATTAATCTGCATTTTTGACGGTTGACGGTAAAAATTTTCTTTCGTTTGACGACTGACAGTTAACACCATTGAAGCTCTCCTACAGTAGGTCTGCAGAAAAAGGCCACCGATAAAAAGTTAGATATATTTCAGTATAGAATGAAAATAGTGAAAGAATGAAGGATGGTAAATTTTAAGACCGGTCAAAAAATCTTAGTAAAGATGAAATAATCAGCATGTCACAAGCGTGGGACAAAGAAAAAATCTGAGTCCTCGACAGGATTCGAACCTATGACCTCCCAAACACCGGGCGGGCGCTCGTGAGCTACGGAGAACTCATGAAGAGCGAGGCCATATACTAGGTTCATATCTGAAACTGACGCGTCCTGCATACCGCTAGAATCAGCAATGACGAGATCCTACTGCACAGTGAAAGAATGAGAGATGGAACATTTTAAGCGGAGGATAGAGAGAGGATAGGGCGCTTGCCCGGTGTTTGGGAGGTCATACGTTGGAATCCTGTCTTTGTCCCACGCGCTCGTGACATGCTGATTATATCATCTTAACAGAACTAAAATACTTTTAGGAATGAAGTGTCCTGAGAACGAGGGCGACCACTGCTCCGAATACAAGTTCTACATCACAGTTTCCTACTAAGCGATATTCCAACAAGAAACTCAATCAAAACTTGTGTTTAATTCATTTTTGAAACATTAGTATTTTCTTGGTCCTGAGCTGTTCTGCTTTGAGGATTAAGTACAGGTAAATGGATTGTGTTCAGCAAAGCAGCGGCAAAGCACATTTTTTTATGCTACTTCTATAATGGCCTGTCTTTTTTTAGATTTAAAAAAAAAAGGCCAAAGGGGCACACGAGCCAAAGGCCCAAACGACCGAAGCTTATCCCGGTTTTCATGAATTATGCCTAGAAGTATCGCAGGGTTACCCCCCCACCTGGGTGAAGAGAGACCAAGTGGAGTGAAGCTCCTTGTCTAAGGAAACTACGTGACGGGCGTGACTTAAACCTCCGGAGTTCGAGGTGTTACAGACGCGGCTCCATGAATGTGCTTTGTCTTGCAAGTCAATCGCTATGAGTAACACGTCTTCTCGTGTTTAAACAACCCATCATTTACTTGCCTCTATCAACTTAGGGACGCACCATTATAAGAATCTTATGCGTGGGTGGGGAATTTTCGAGCCCCGGGAATTTTTTTTCGTTACAAATTCCTTGTATGCATTTTTCTTAGGCTGTAGCATGAATATTTTTTAGGGTTAATTGGCGTGCATGAATTTTTTTCCCCTTAATTTTCCCTTGCGCGAATAATTTTTTGGTAATTCGCCCCCCGCCCCTCCCCCATAAGTTTTCTAACTGTCCGTCCCTTAATTTGAAACAAAATTCAAAATAGTAAAAGCTGGTGAACAAGATGAGTTTGATAATCAAAACTGTAATGTCTGATGCCTTGTATTTTATTTTCGTAACGCTAAACCAGTCTTTGACGTTGCAGACATGTCTCTGAATCCAAGCCAAGAAAGTGGCAGTTTTAAAGTTTTTTTTTTTTTTTTTGGCTTAATACAGTTTTAACATCGGCTTTTTTTAATCCAGCCTTAAAATAACTGCGCAAATATCCAAAACTATTTAACACGGCTGTTGTAAGAACTACTGCCGATAAGAGCAGTAGCATAATTGACTCCTGTCAAAATTCAGTTGTTGCAACCGTTTCAGCTTGTGCTTTATACAAATGAGGAAGCGAGTTTTTAAACCGGAAACAGCAGTGTTGATTTAGATGTAATTAATAGAAAGATTGAAGTGCTGTAAAACAATAGTCATCAATGCCTCGGGAATGTGTAAATGCATTGGAGCTTCAAAAATGACTTGGTTCCCCGGTTTTGCTTTGGGGAATGATTACTGAAGCGCGTTTTCTCTACTGACTGCTTCTGTGGCCTGTCTTTGTCTTAGACAATTTTTCAAAGATTCTTTTGTCATGCCTAGTCAGTCACATATTGATAATTTCCATACTTTCAGATTGTCATAAAATGGAAATATTAGCACTGCACAGTTAGTTGTCTGCCAAAATTTATATTCTGGCTTGTAATCAACTTCTAAGACGATTCACGCCATTTTATGCCATGCTATATCTTTTCCGAGACACTAATGTTTGATGACTAATGATCAGAGCCTACTTGCTTTGCACTGGGAAAAGGGTCAAAAATTTCACAGAAAGTGATAAATCTAGAAATGTAAACAGAAACGGCAAAGTAGTGATGAAAACATTTCAGTCTCGCCAGGATGACAGTTTTCTATTTTTGGGCAGTTTGATATTTATATATTATAGTTAACTACCATACCGCCCTTGCAGCTTATTTATGACTGAATACGTCATCCCAAACACGTCTTTTTTTGTGCGGATGTAGAATCTTTCAGTCGATCCGTTTGGTGGTATAGTGGGGCTGGCAACTGACAAAATGATATCAGGTAAGCAAATGTCCTGATTGTGCTGCTTTCTATCTATCCTAGGACTTAACAACTGAATAAAATCGGCTTAGACTATGAGGTAACATAGTCGGGATGCTTTAAAAATAGCAGGACTAACATCCGTTTTGAGCTAGCACGGGTGAAATACATTTACAAGTCGTTCCTAACTGTAAGCAGGTGTGGCCATATTAATGGTAGTTATACCCTGTTCATCTGGATATGCGTCTAGCTTTTAAACCAACGTTTGAAGGCCTGTAGCAACGAATAAAAAGGTGACTTGGTTCAGTGTATTTATGAGTTGCAAGTCCATTTCTGCCACTGACACATTCTCTCGTTTGGAAACCACTCATCTAGTGGCTACAAAATAAAGACTAATTTTAATCATCTTATGCAATTAACTTAATTCAAAAGACAAGAGGAATACTTAAAATTGAACAGAATGAGCTTGAAAACCGTAACTGTTGTCTAACGTCTTCTATTTCGGTTTCGAAAAGCAAGACCTGTCTAAGGTCTTATTTTTGACATTGCTATGTGTTTTCTATGCTATTATGTTTCTGAACCCGAACCAAGATATCAGTCGTAACTATAGTGCTCTGTTGACGACTCAAAATTTATTCATCTTTAGGGTTAGGTATTTTAATTTCCGCCTCATTATAACGGAACCGAAAAAATATCAATACAAACTAACACAGCTGCTGAAGAGAACTGCTGCCGCTAACAACTGCATTACCAAAATTCATTTGTAGCAACTGCCTATATTTCTGCCCTATACAAAGAAAACCAGAAAACAGGTTTCATTTCGACGTGACACAAGACTAAAGAGCTGTCAAATTATACTGATAAGAGAATCTCACTCGGCAACGTTTCATGAGCACTCATGTAGAGATCTATAAACGACAGACAAGGAAGATATTCTCAAATCGCTTATTACTGGAATAGTTGGGCGTGCTTCTAGATTCAACTGAAACGAATACGAAACCCACTCTCATGCCAGGTAATAATATTTTCCAAATTAACGTAACAAAATAATTTTGAAAAATCTCTTCCAAATACTATAAACGGAAGGGAATGATGTCACGGCGACCATATTGGTGTACAAAGCATTGAAACGGCGGCCATGTTGGTAAACAAAAAAAAAATCCTATAAGAACTGAACTTTTACTTTTCTAATGTAAAAAAATTCTTTTATTCCAAGAAATTTGTATACTGTAGCTGCTGCTAAGTGAGTGAAAACGTTCAGTGTTTGAATGATGTCCAGTCAACTCCATTTACATTGAACACTGTGGGACCTTGAGTCAGTGTCCTCATCAGCGAGACTCCGAATTAGCGGGAGTTTATTTCATTTAAACAACGAGAATTTATTTTTGCCTGGGAGGTAGCTGCTGTTAGCATTATCGGGGTGTCCGTCATAGCAGGGTGTCCGCAAGGCGAGAGTTGACTGTATTTGAAAATGGTCTATGTTTAGTCAATTTAAGACCATATCTGTCTGGTTCAGTGTTTGAAGGTATTTGGTTCTTTCTTGGTAGAATTGATTGGTCATATGTGTGGTGCAAACGAATACGGCTATGACTACACGAGACTGTTAAGGTCACTAAAGCATGCAAAATTAAAAAGGTATTCCACCCACCCCTCCCTGGTTCTTGAAAAGGGAGCAGGAGCTAGGTTTCGTTTCCTTTCAGATGAGATGAAAGCCACTGAAAGTAACAGGTGTTATCCGTAAACTCAGATTTTTGGCTTCATGACATCACACTATTTGAAGAAAGTAAAATTGAAATCATATAGAAAATGAAACATTCGTGTAGACGTATCACATGTATTCAGTTGTGAACCAAACCAAAGCCATATTTAGAAGTATGGTCTAGTTCTCTCGATATCAGACTCAGGCAAGTTATATTGTGAGAACATCCGCAAATTCAAACAATGAAGCGCAGCTTACAGTTTGTTCTTCTGTTTTTCCCCAGAAGTAAAAGATGGGTGATTCAGAAACATCACCGAAACGCAGGTAAGGAAGGCGTCTATGTGTTTACATTCGGTATGTGTTATAAACATCTCGGTTTTAAATCAGGTTAGTACCTCATTAAGTGGTGACATGTTTTGTCGTAAATCGGGCGACATAAGGCGTGCAACGAAGAATCTCATTTGATGCAGCATTCACTGATTTACAAAATGAAGAAAAGAAGAAAATAACCTAAATCAGTGGAGGACATTAGTAACAGTGCGCTTTGATCAACGGTGATAAGATGATTATTATCCTTATAATAGAAATGAAAACGATAATTGTTGGACTGCCAATGAAAAGGGAAGTTGACTTCATATCGGAATAACTGACACTTTGAAGTGACACTTTTATAATTTGTGAGAGTTAAGAATAATATATATTGTTTAAAAAATTGGCTTTCTCAGTTTTCTTTTTCCCATTCGTTAACAGAAAGCTTGATAACCCAGACACAGATCCTGATGGTAAGTATCCCATACACTGATTTGGCAAAAGTTAATTTATACGCCCGCCAGTATCACTTTTTATGTTTGTTACTGTAGAATACCGATTTTACTTCCTTCCACCAATGAAACACTGTTATTCTACAACCGATTTATCAAACCTCCCGATAGTTCTAGCCAATTTGCTTTTTCCAAGGTGTGGAAATTTGGGATCCTATTTTAGAGGCTCTCTATGGGTATCTGCGGACATCGTTTTCCAACAAATCGTCGGTTTTTCAACGAAATCGCCACATGTCAAAAAATGTTTTGCGTGGTAACACAACTGGGGAGCTCGAGCAATCACGGCGACGACGACGGAAATCGTCCTTTCATCAACAGCGATAGTTGCCACTTCGATCTCGTCGGAAATACCCATACATACAGTGTCTCACTGCCGTTGTGGAGACCATATAAGAACTAATACTTTCCTTCCTCGATGATAAGTAACAAATGTTGGTCAATATCCACTCAGCTTCAGTCTTACAAGCCCAGTTTTGACACATTTCACGAGGGTCACCGTGTGAACTTAGAAATATAGCAATCGTCGTTTTATTTCGTTTTTCTCTTGCCTATGCATTTATGGTTCGCTGTTTTCTAACAGGAAAAAATGAACCGAATGGTTCTCAAGTGGGCAAAAAAGACAACGCGGAAAGAGTGGAACATTGCAGTAAAATAATTCCTCATAAGGAAATGAATTGGAATCCAAAGCAAGTTCGACCTGAAATCGCCATATTGTATCGACGTATTGTTGACAGTCTAAATCAAAAGGAACCAGAAGGATTGAAGAGTTTTGAAAGAAGTGCTATGCATTTGGAAGCATTCATAAAAAGCCAGACCTCTTCAACTGAGGTCAAAAAAGAACTTCCAGGTTTCGCCATAAACGCTGCGGACAAAGAGACCACATCAAAGGCGAACGTACCCTTAGCAAATTGTCCTACATACGGGTTATCTCAAGACGTCACTTGCAAGTTACCTGTAAGCTCTAATGGTGAGGATAAAAAAATTGTTTAGACAAAACAATTTTACATACATTAGCTGGTGGTAGCAGACAAAATCGTGCGTGAAACGTGTTTAGCGCGCGTATCGTGAAATATAAGGTCTTTGATGTTTTTTATGTGAGAATATGGTGGCCAGCCCGGTAATAATATGACATAAAATTGTAACAGCATTCGATAAGGGTATAGGTAAGCATGAAAATGTAAGGTAGCCTAACCTGACGTTGAATAACATAATATAAAAACGTAATGTAACACAACGTGAAATTGTATTGTGAAAGTAACAAAATAACACTGGGGACAAATCAACAATCTATACAATAGAACACACAAATTCCCAGGAAATACAAAATATTTCAATAGGCCATTTTCACGATGGCGTCAATTTACTACTACGACCAGAATCCCTTTCGTTTTTGCTTTCATATTTAAATTTTGTAATCCCGGTGAGGTATGAATAACAAAAGCCCTAATTTGTACAGGAAAGCAAAACCCTGAAGGATTCTTGTCGTATTAGTAAAATAATGTCATCGTGCAAATGACCTATTGAACGTATAACGTCTGCAGGCAACTGTAAAAACTGAAAAAAGTCCGACCTTGCCTGACCAAAAGACCGGGGGAAATTTCTCTCGAGCAATTCATTTTTTATTTTAGTTTAGTTTCAATTGGCATGTAATGGTTATTTTGGGCTAATTAGAAAGCGAAGCATTGCAAGCGACTGAAGTAAAATTAATTTCAAATCTCAACTAAACCCCCTCTGCATTATTGACTTAATACATCAGAAACGAGCAATGGATACACTCCTGCAAGTCAAGTAACTTCACAGCCAAATTATTTGGAGTCTACTCTGTCAAGTAAGGACAGCATCCGTGGGGTAAGTATCTCGAATTCGAAGTCTACCCCAAGTTACATTTCGAGGATTATTTACATTACTTTGTGTGGTCAGTTTTCCAGGCTGCTCGTGGGCTCAGATTGCTGCCCTACAATCAATACGTCTAAAATGAAAGGACTAGTATAAGAGCATCCAACAACGACCAAGGCACTCAAGGCCAAATCTTAAACACCTTACACTAACTACAACTCCAATCACTTAAAGGGGCTATGTGTTGAGGATGTTGCTGATTGAGTTCAATTCTGTGCTGAGGGCATTACTTAGTACCTTTACCCATACACAAAATACGCCAATAGAGTTATGAAAGAAGACTTCAAACAAATATCACCATGCAGCACAAACCATAAAAATGTTTTTTGTGATTTTTCCAGGCATGGCATTAAAACACGAAAAGGTTGGCCCAACTTTTTCAAGGTTCAATCCACGTCTATCCTTGCCATCCGTTACACCAGAAAACAGGAAACCCTTTCAATGCCTAAATATAGTCCTAAATGACAAAACTGAAACATTATTTTTGGAATTTGATTGATATGAAAACCAGTTCTAACGTTTTTAAAATGAGGAAATGTCGTGTCACGTAGCCCCTTTAAGAGATATAGATTTACATTGCCGACCTGATCTTACCAATTTGCTCTAGGTTTTGCCCAGGATTGAGACCAAGCATTTCATTCAACAGTTCAGCGCCTTAAAAAGATACTGGGGGGAAACTTTGATCAGACACCAAATCGCAAGGTCGAAAAAGCTGCCCTTGTTGCGTTGCCTCTTTTGATAAAAAATTTACTCCTGATACTCCTTCAGTTACATTAATGAATACAGGAAGTGTATAAACGTGGAGGTAATTTTGCGATGCGTCCCATCCAAAGGGAGAGAAGGGGTAATATCCATAAATGATCATGCTAAAGAGAACGCGTTAAACTCGAGCAATAAGTAGATCACCTTTGGCTATTTGACATTATTAATGTTTAGTTACAAAGAGTGACTTTGTCGTTTATCGGCTCCTAGGAAATCTAAGTTTCTTTCCTGAAACCAAGTACGCATAACACTTGGAGACGTGGTCATTGATAGCAGGTTTTGTTAACATTCTTCTTTTCTTTATTTTTAATAGGAAATTAAAAAAATCATAAAAGACCGCACGAGACAGACGCTTGCTGAAGCCGAAAAGCTCCAGGTTCGAGTTCTCACCCTAGAAACAGAAAATCGCAACTTAAAGCAGAAAGTAAAGATGCTATACAGCGCCGTGAAGGGACTAAAAACCCAACAGAATAAGGTTAGAATGTCTGATGTGCACATATTTAAATCTAAAAAGGCCACCGCTATATAAAGGATAGTTCACGACGTTGGTTATGTTGGTTTGAGGAGTAAGGGATGGCGCAGTGGTGAGAGCGCTCGCCTCCCACCAATGTTGTCCAGGTTCAAATCCCAGCTTCGACGCCATATATGGGTTGAGTTTGTTGTTGGTTCTCTCTTTTGCCCCGAGAGGTTTTTCTCCGGGTACTCCCGTTTCCCCCTCTTCTCAAACACTAACATTTCCCAATTACAATTCGACCAGGAATCAGGTAGACGAAGAACCACTTTGTGGATGTGCTACCTCCAAATCATTATTTATCATTTCTTTTATTTATTTCAAGGAAGGTTGGCACAGGTGGCTCTGAAACAAGGCCCTTACAAAACCCATTGTTTTTCGTCTGTCTCGAGATACCCCACTTGATTATATTGCCATAAACCCAAGAATCTTTGGACTATATCACAGAATATCTTTCCCAGAACCTAATAATTCAGATGTTAACACAACATGTATTCTTCCTCGGTTGTTTAAAAATACAAGAACAAGGATAATTGTAGATGCGTTTTTTTAACATGACGTAGCGTTTGAGATGTCAGTTTATTATACTCTTTAATACTCATCGTTAATTATTAAAATTTCAAAGGAGCTATCAAGAAGAAACGTAACGTCTCGCACAGTACAAACAGAGCCACAAATTCATGCAGTGGATGTTCAAACAATGAGACTTATACCATCCGAAAAACCTCTTCCTATCCCTGCCATTACGGTTGGAGCCTTGTCCATTACCAGCAACAAGCCTTTGTTTTCTGTCAGCAAGACACACCCAAAAATGAGCTTCTCACCTCACAGAAGTGTATCTCACTGCATGACCTCAGTAAATCAAAAAGATCCTCATGGGAAAGAAAGTTTGGTTTGTACAGGCTCAGGAAGTTTTCCTCCACTCTATAACAAACAACCCGAAAATGGATCTGTCTATTTATCAAAATACGTGCCATTAATGTCTCAAACTCCATATTGCCGCACAAAGAGGCCATCATTAGACTATGGAAGTGAAGGCCTTTTATCACCTATGAAAAATCCCTACAATGTGGCTACTTCATCCCCACATAACGATAACAAAGGGGACTTGAAAAGAAACCCTGTAACGGTCCTTAACCAAGTTTTACAGCAAATCTTACCAGAAAGTTTTACGGCTATGGAAGAAAAGGTCAAAACGTTATGTAACCCTGATGCATCGAGAGGATCCAATGTAAGTCACTTGTCTCCAGAAAGTACAGCTGAAGGCTCACCGTTGGCTAACAGTAAAAGGCCAGAAACCGTTTGGACCACATCTCTTCATCAACAAAGCTCACAACCTTGCGTTTTAAACGAAGACTTCAAAAAAGGCACACCATATGTTGAAATGGCAGCAGCATCTTATAACTACAACGTGTTTAATACGGAGACGAGATGCGATGTGGCAAATTCGAATTGTAAAACACTAACCAAGTCCTGGATCTCGGCGACATATGAGAGCCATTCAAGAAAACATGACACAGTTAAAGATATCAGTAAAAGCAGAAAATCATTGGAACATTCTTTTGTTGTTACCTCAGCACTTGAAAACGAGCCGCAGTCGCATGTACTTGACTCTGAATCACAACTCATAATAGCCGTTTCTCGGCCATTTGACAGTTTGCTGTCACAGCATTCAAGAACAGACTACAGCGCTCCTAAAACATCGGAATGTCGATCGGTTGTGAGCCCTTCCACAGTCACAAGAGGTCAATCCACAGGCCAAAGAAACTGTATATTCTCGCTATCTGAAATGTCAGGATTAGGACCGAAAACATCTACACAAAAGCTTTGTCCCTTGAGATCCACCTCAACACAAACTTCCCAGTTGTCAGGAAATCTAATTCCTTATGAAAGAACTGAGAAAAGGCAAATGAACCTGAATGGATCAAGAGTTAAAAAGATAAACACCAGTGACAATAAAATGACTCCTTACCAACCTCCGTCCTCCTTGCAAGCTCAGTATTCCCCACCAAAAGCAACAGCTGGAAGCTCAACCTCTTTGTCTGACTTAAAAACTCCTTACCATGCGTATGAAGGACAAGGATTTGAAAATCCTGTAGCAATTCTGCACTCCACACAGAATGTTGACGGAAGGCAAACACAACAAACTTCTGGCAAAAAACCTGAAGTCCCTTTCAACAATATTTCTGTTTTTAATTCACAAAAGATGATAGATGACCAGACATTCCGGAAGGAGAATGTTTCTAGTTGCGAGTCACGTTTCGGTACAGTTTCCCCAGGGGAGGGTCAAATGATGCCCCATCGGCATAGCAGGACATTGCAGAATGGCGACTTCGTCTCACTTGCAAGGATGTACCGAGATAAAGGGGATGGTAAGCAATACAAACCAAGACCAGCCATAATGCCAAACATAGTCATCAGCCAGCCAAGATATCAACCTTATCCAAGTATCAGGGTGAAAGGAAAGGAATCCCACCAGCCGTCAGTCAGGTCAAACACTCATGGTGTTTATGGAATGTATCACAGGAGATCACCAAAGACAAATAAGTCACCATCACCATTTGAAGTACCTCTACATCCTGACCCACAGCTATCTCCAAAGCAACAGCCTGAGAGTATGCACCAGAACATGTCACCAAAATGTTTTCGTTTCCCTGAACCAGCATTACATCAAAATGGTTTTGACTCGTATGCTCTATTGAATTCTAATCTCCACTCCCGTTCGATGAATTCGCTAAACCCTCCCCATCTTAGTCAAGAACTATCACAATTTCCTCATGGCCCCACAGCTACAAGTGGTTCCCTACAGAGAGGGTTGTGTTCTGACCAGCCCATCAAAAGTAGGGTTGATTCACCCAGTAAAGACCCTGGAACGAGCAACAGTGATTTGTATGATTCAAGTTCACGGACCTCTCGCCGCGATAATAACAAAACGGCTGGGGAATCCTTAAGTTTTAATTGCACTTCGTTATCTGATTATCCTTCTTCACGAGTCGGGGAAGACGATGAAAAGGATCATCGACCTCCTAAGCACCCCTTACGAAGTACGTCTTCCCAACCAAATGGGTCTGCTAAACCACAGGTCGAAATGTCGCCATTATGTCAGCGATACCTTAATCATCTAAGAAAATTTGCGCAAGTCCGATTACTCTCGCTTAACTCAGGAATGAAAAACGAAAATGATAGTTGCCAACAGCATACATTTCAGAAAGGCTCTCTAAAACGACAGCCTGAAGTCCAAAACGATCAGCTGAAAAAGAAACCCCGATCATCGTCAACCCAGGGTGTAAAAAAAGACAACCATGCCCTTCAGCAACACAAACCTCGTCGACTGATTTTTCATCATCTAAAATTTACCAATCCTCGGCAAAGAACGCAAACTTTTCAAGAAGGGCGGTCGAACTTATTAGACTGTGAAAACACTCCACAAAGTAAACAGATCCCTGAAGGAAAATTAGGAGGGCATAATCTAAAGACCGAATCTAAGACAGAATTGAAGACCACTCAAACATCCTTAACGGAAGATTAGCAATAAAGAACACCATAAAGAATAAACCTAGTTTGCTGGCTACATCAACATAGGTGTAGTTCAAAGCGGAAGCCATATTAAAAGTGGAAGTGGAAACGCGTGGAAGACATAAAGGAGAGAATTGCTCTTGATTCGATTCGATATCCAGAAAGCCAAATTTTGCTATGCTTTCTTTTTTGCCATGCAGCCTAACTGGAAGCGTATTGCGTCCGCTACAATGTATCTAGCAAAGAATTTCACCAAACGAACCTCGTCCAGCCGAGTTTACATATTGTTTCTTTGAACTAGCTTTTTTGCGAATCTGAAAGTACTGCACTAACTTTATAATCTTTTACGTATAGGTTAATAAGCCTCTACACCAGACGACCTTAGCACAACCTGCGAGCGCTAAGGACCTAAAAAACTTTACTGTCATAAAGTCGGTTTCAGTAAGAGTAGATGATACTGTTAAATGAAGTGTAAAATTGTTCTAAGAAGAAGTGAGTTCGTATCTTAAACGCATAAGACAAAGACATCACTCGAGAGTGTTTGCAAAATAAGGACAGGTCCTAATTAGGAGCATTGGAATTAAACAGTCTAATGTGCTACATAATAGAGAAGAGAAGTAATGAGGTCACAAAAATTAAATTTGTGAATTATGGGATAGGTTGGCATATCCAGAGAGAACAAGATTAAAAATGTTCACTTGTCAAAAAATCAGGCTGTCAGTGCAAATTGGTGGCGCGATATAAATAGAGGATATTACATGGCCGCGCGGAGATATAAAATTTCTCTTCGAATGAGCAAAGAATACTTCGGTGGGGAGACGTCGTTATTAACAAAGACATCGACGGTAAAGAATATCTTGAGTACTTTGAACGGCAAACAAAGACAAGAACGGGAGAAGATCCGCGAAATCAGCGACAGATTAAGCCTATACATTTTGACTGTGAGCCTTTTTTAAATGTTACGACATTGAATTGATTGTTGAACATTTACCAGCGTGAATTTCACTTTTTTCACAACTGTAGGAGAGTGGCCAAATTCACAGATTTTAGCTCTTTCAAATAAGTTCAACCGTAATCAAAGAAGCGAATAGCTAACATCCAAAAACAGCACAGCACGTTAAAGCCGAATGTAAAATTTTAAAGTATCGTCACTTTTCTCTGTCTATACAGAAGCTTCTTTGCCATCTTTGGTAAATGCATACTCTATACTATCATTTAAAGTAAGAGAATACAGTTTATAGCATATGATCTCCTTATTAAGATAGATGTATTTCCGAGGCGGAAAAGAGAGGGGGTACTTAAGTAACGTAAGCTTGATAAAGGTGCTGTAGCAAATGCGGCGTCCTAATCTTGACCTTGATATAAAACACAGAATCTTCTTTTCACTTTTCCCCCTATTTAGGACAAAAGGATCTTTTTGTAAACTTGTACGACCCAAATTTAAAACCCTGTTGATTAGCAGGGATACATTTTCTTTGAATTTGCCCACAGTAAGTCACTAAATTTAAAAAATAATAATACACAAAGTTACGCACACAATTTCCAATAGGCGTTTTCTGTCACAAATATAATCTGTCTCAACATCTTGTTACTCGGTCTACCTTTATCTTTGAAAAATTGTACACAGGCGCCCTATTTAAAACTCTATGCATGAAATGTGTCACACTGTTCACAGTTCCCTTTTTTCCTGTAACGTCGTCGAGATTGAGTGTAACAGGCGACCAACTTGGTTTCATATGTACTGAAGGGGCGGGAGTCGGGGTTTATAGCAATGCAGTGGGAGGAGGGAGGCAATTTTTCTGGCCTCCCAACCAGTCCCCCGCCCGCTAGATAAATTTGATGTTTGAAACTAAGGCGACTGCAAGTTAGAAAAAGTAAGGGGACTGTAAACAGTTACAGCCTGAGTTTAGCCTCATGTCCCCGTTTAGGGCAAAATAAGAGAGTGGTCCCCTTAACTCTATCGAGACATGTGAAACCTGTCGCAAAAATAAATGTATTCATATGTACTTCTAATAGGTTCAACTGTACTTTGCAAGTCTTTGTTGCAGGCAATTTTACTTAACGTTGCCTAGACGTCAAATAACCTCAATAGGTGGCTTTATTTCACCTCAGTAAAGTTAAGGTTTTAAAACCAGTCAGTTTGATGTACACATTTTCTGGGCAAGTTTTCTTCTGAATATGAATGAACTGCAGATATATCCACTGTGGTGTTCGGATTCACTTCCGCTCGTAAAATTTTCAATGGGTAACGTCCACGGCGTGGTGTTAACTGCGGAGGAATAGAACTGCAGCTGTTCCTTTGTTCCACGGACTCCGACAAGATCTGATTTGTTATTAAAGTCCTCATTTTTCTTGATGTTAGCTTATTGGGAAGAGCTATGTTTTCAACTGGTTCATTTGAAGAGGTCGATATCCCATTCTGCGATCGAACGCTTCGTCCCAAAGAAGAAGACGGAGAATAGCGGGAGGAAGTATGTAGGTCAGCGGTACCTCCAGGACAGGAAGTCATTTCCTGTTCCAATAGTGGGTTGGGGAGAGTGATTGTTAACTGCGTTTCAGGTAACGAAATCCGGTCATGAAGGTCATGAAGGAAACTAATTAGTTAATTTTATTGTTCGTTTTCTGCAAACAAGCCAATCCGCTCTTGCCCAATACCAAAAATCGAAGAAGGATTTAGTAGCTGCGACTTTCTTGGTAAAAATTGGTTTCTATGACCATGCTCCGTACGTAGCTTAGTTTGTAAACCATTCCCTGAACGGGACATTTGTAAAGAAGGAGTATTGGTGAGTTTAGATTCTCCTGATGTAACTCGTTTAAATGATTGGCGTAATTGATTAAGGGATTTTCTCGATAAATATGATTCCTGTTGCATCTGACGAGGCTGTCTTGAAGTGAATGAGCTATGTTTTTGTCTAAACGGAGTGATTGGTGCTTGCGATTTCACAAAATTCTTGCATCTAACACTTCTACAATGAGATTGATCTCTGGAAAACATATTCATTTCGTGAATTTGGGCAGTATTCCAATGTAGTTCACAACCTTCGTCAGGTAAACAACTGCAGGATACATCCACTAAATCTGATTCACCTAGCTGGTGGTGGTGATGGTGAGGAATACTTCCTCTACTACTCAAAAGGTTAGAGGTTACATCCAGTGAATGAAGATGGTCATGATGCGCTCTCTTGGCAGAAGCGCCTCTGCAGGTTGGTATGTATTCCATGTGATCGGCTGATCCATCCTGGTGCAAGTAAACTAAATTATGGAATCTTTGAACAGTTCCAATATTGCTGGGCATAACAGGCTTCAAAACCTGACAAGAGATAAAAAAATAAGAACAATGTCAGCATGGTCATTTTCATTGGGACGTAATCCATGGAGAAATCCAAATAGAAGTCTCAAGAGTATACGTCCAAGGCAATAAATAATAATGCCTCATCCGCCTTCTTCTTCGCTGAAGAGAAAAACAAGTTCTAGACATCGCCAAAGCCTATCACGCATCACGCAAAACAAACTTGACCCTTGAGTTCAAAAATGGAAAACAAACATGCTTCTTCAGGTGGATTATCTTAAGTTTTATCACAAGGTATAAGAAATTTATAGGCTGACGTACTTAGAAGATGAGTGTGAGAATGTTTAATTTCCTTGTTGATTCCTTTGACCAAGCAGTGTTACACATTGGGTTTCTCTCTTGGCGGTTAGCAAAGCAATAATCACCGACCTCCCACATTATGAAAAAAAATCCCTGTTTTGGAATACTTTTGGATATTTTATATTTAAGTTCGTAAAACAGTTTTTTTCCTGATGATGTCGTTGACCGGCGAAAGCTTGGATTTTTAACTTGTACATACAACAGTAGTGACAGGCCTCATTTGAACTTCAGTATTGTTAATGAGTTTTATGTTGTTGATGGAGGGTGGGAATTCCGATAATTATAGGCATTTGTAACAATTTCTTCCAATAAAAACTTACGACTCTCATGTTGACTTGAGTACCACGTGATATCATTTGATCATTTTCCTTGAACAAAGAAAAATAAAATTTCAAAATTTCAAAAAGAGGTTATTAGGCATCGCTAAATACCCAAACGACGGACGAAAAAAATTATGGTTGCAGAGAGTTGACAAAACCCCTCGAATTGATTTTATGAGCATTTTCTTTCAGCCTGTTAACGTTCAAGAGACTTAAAATGGAAGCTTAGTTTTTGAATTGGTAGACAATCGTTTTTGGATTGTTATGTGCTTTAAACATTCCCTACAATTCAATGAAACATTGAGGGGCACCCAACTACAACATAGTTCAAAACCACTTAAACATAGCATTGTTAAACGTATTTGCAGTTGGTACTGATTTAAACGGTAGATATAGGCATATTTTTATCCCTTAAAAATTTTCATCTGTTCGGATTTCCTAGCTGAAAGTCAAGTGATCCGAAATTAAAATTATAGGGATCAAAACTTACCTTTTCGAAAATTTCAGCCCGGAAAAAAGGCTCCCGAAAATCCTAGGTTACCCTTTTAGGGTAAAAATCCGTTAAAAATGGGCAATCATACCATTTTGCAGATGTTCGAAAATCCTACGAGAGGCAGGCAAGCAAGAAATCTTACAACAAATGTTCCGAAAATTCTACATCTCAAATCGTCTTCCGAACAGATATTTTCCGAAAACTGACGTTGGGTGCCCTGAAAATTGCCCGGAAATCTTTGCGCATTTTGCTAAAACAAAAAATTGCAAAATGTGCCGAAATTTTCCCTTGTCTATTTTCTGTATAAGCTCCTTATTCACCTTAGAGTTAATATTGAATTATTAAATTACCATACCGATGACATATTCACTTGTGTTCCAAAACTGACCATCTGATGAGTTTTCTAATAAGGGGAAGGAAAAAAGGATTTTTTTCAATCTGCTTAAAGCTTTTTCCCTTGGACTTCAAACAGGAGGTCCAAGACAATCGGGACGATTCCGGAAGTTTACTTGAAAAGTAGCTTGCTGCTTAAACACTTCCGTTTAATCAGGCAATAGACCAATTTACTTTTAGCCAGTTGAAGCAAGGGTAGGAGTGACCTTGTACAGCCTGTAAATCATGCTATTATAAGGCATATGACAACACTAAGGTTTCTATCAAAATATAGTCACAGCCAAACCTCGCTTACACTCAAAGGTTTAGGCTGCTTAGCATACAACTGGCCTATTGTGATTGACCAATCGTGCCAATTATCCCGCATATGTCTCAGTGGCCTGAATAGGTGATTACGATCGTTCCGTATTGCATTAGAGGTGTTTCCATGTGACCGTCTCAATCGCCTGAAAACAGTATGAGATGATAGATAGATAGATGATAGACGATCCTGACGATTATATAGAAACCTGAGCCCTAACAACTTGCCCGTTTTTGTCGCTGAATTACATCCTGAAGAGTGGCAAATAATCGTGAAGCGTATTCTCGAAGTTCTTTGTTTTCCTGTTCAAGTTGTTCCATCTTCTTTGTCACTTCGCTTATCCGCCTCTTCATCGTTTTTCCAATTAAAGAAGCTCTTTTCTTGAGTTTCTTCTTCAAAGCCTAGAGAATAAAGATTTTTAAATGATTCAATTTGACATGTATAAAGTAGCTAGTGGAAAAAGTTTGTCAA